TCGGCAGAAGTTTCCTTGGTAGCAACGAATGTTCTTATTTATATCTACATGCCTACACCCACGCCTCCCGTAAGACAGAAACTTGGGTTTTTTTTACATACGATATCACTATCCCACCCTTATCCTAACCCTTTCCCTAACTATTACCCTAACAGAAATTACTTGAATAGGCATGTAAATATAAATAAGAACATTCGTTGCTACCAAGGAAATTCCTGCCACCATGTTCTACATTTTCAATTTTCATTTGCGTCAACGTTTGAGGTTGAAACATAAGTTTGAAAAGAACCTCCAGCGGTTCGTTCAAAAGAGAAACATTTGACTCCGAAAGAACTTAATTGCTCGAATATGATAAGATATAATCTACGAACGTGTATTTCCCCGTAAAAATATTGAAAAAACTATAGGACGTCCTGGGCCCAATAAAAGGGATCTTTCACTTTTAAAATAAATTTACTATAAAAGTATGTTTTATTTGGATTGTTAGTAATTACGCAAATTAGGATGACCTGTTTCTCCCAGATTTTGTCAAGCTATCTAAAATAATTTAAGTTGTACAAGGAGCAGCTGAATTGATAAGTTGGTCAATGAATACCAGCAAGATCAAAAATGGTTGGCTTAGGTTGACAAAGCAGAATTATGGTGAATTAAATCTTCTCAGTCAGTGTTCTAAAATGCACACTCACCATCTCGAGAACCATACTCTGGCGCTGAATCGATGTTTTCTATTTCAATCGCATTAGTACTGCCGACGAAATGTATGATGGTCCGTTTAGCTGCCTGGAAAAAAAAGAGAAAACAAATGTGGTTACTTAAAAGGATTAGAATGATGAACAGCCCGGATTAGATCACCAGTGACCCAAACTGCCGATTCCTCATCACTTTAGGATTAAAACCAGGGAGGATATTTCGAAAATTAACGGCTGGGATGTGGAATAGCGAGCAAACACTGCGACCACCGGCGAAGAACACGGAATGAACTAATTTGATTAGGCAGATGACGGCATGACAATTGCCTTTTATAAATATCGCATCCCCTGGCACATCATTCTTATCTGCAACTGTGTTTGCTAATTGCAAAAATCCGAGAGGTCAGGTCAGTAAACGTCATATTTCGGCAGTCGAATCTTCTCCTGAACTCGCCTGTTCACTTCTATCAATAAGGACTTAAACTGTCCATCAACCTTGTAACCGGACTTTTTAGCATAGAAAGTAACAATGTCGCGTATTTGTCCTGCGTTTAACTACTTTTCGCACTTAGTCGTCGCTTAATGCTCCATTCTCATTGAGCAGACAGTATCAATCTTGGGACACAGGAAAAACCTCTGATAACAGGATTTCTGTTCAGAAAAAGGAAAAAGAGGCCATCGCCGGAACAAAACGCTTGCTGACCCTACGTTTTGGATCCTCGCCCGAACCAATCATTATAGGCAGTCACAGAAAAGGATACTAGAGACAAAAAGAGCCGCAATAGCAAGCAGCAGTTTCCAGGCAACTACATGCCTACCATTAATATTAGCACTCGCATTAATCGCTGGGTCCAGTTCATGTTAAGTTGACAAACACAATGACCTGATATTCTGTGTTTGTAAAGAAAACATTTTGTCAGCTTGGTGGTGCAATTCTAAAAGCCAGTACACTTACCCTCCCACATTCTTTGGTCCAATCAATGCGCACACAGATGACGCTGTATGCGACAGCCTGAGCGAAGGCACCGATTGAAAGGCCCCACCAAAATCCTGTTAACCAAATGTAGTCACAACACAAAAGAAAAAATATAGGGGGCCTTCACATGCTATGCAAATAGACTATGGTAGATAGCATGCAAGATATATATTTAAGATAATTGCTCATGGCTTTCATAAAATGTAAAGCGGAAAACCAAGACAACTTATAAAATAGACCCGTATTACATCTTAGAACGTCGAACAACCTGAAGCTTTCAAGCAGAATGAATTTTTAAACTGATTTATTATGCTGCACGTAAGTATGAGCACATGATTGTTTTAAGTTTACGCGATCTAACTGACTTACAAGCCATGAGTGCTTTGCATGGAAAAGAAGTTATCAGCATTTAACTATTGGATAATAAACAACGTACCGCTGACTCCAAGTTTCGTCAGAAACATAAAACATAGCCCAGCAGGTCCACCGATGAGGTACATGCAGAAACAGCAAACCACAGCACCAATCTTCTGCTTACCAACTCCGCGAACAATTCCCATGTTGATGCCCTGAAGAATACACTCCAAATGTGTAAGAATTCAAGTAACTCTTTTTCATTCAAGGGCATTGTAAAAAGTGTCTCCAAAATACAATTTATTTTCATTTTTGAAAACCTCTTCCTAATGTGTCAGTTTTCGTCATCTATCCGTCAACCAAAAGTATAACATAAATTATCAACCTTCCTGCATTTTATCTTTCTATATGTCATAGGAGTGGGATACATTCTCATTAGCCAATGAATAAAAGTTTCATCATGGGAAACTTAAGTCAAACATCCACAGGGACATATGAACAGTTTTCATTACACCGCACGAATTAGTTTTGAAACAAATTCGACAATTAATTTCGCTGTGCTCTGAAAATCACTGTGTTACGTTCGAAAACATATGTTTTCGGTGCTTCCTCGCCAGTTCATCGAAAGGGCATTTACGTGTCTGGCGATGATGGGCGAAGGAGAGGCTAAGCAAGTTCGTCACTCTTGCCATTTCTACCGCGTTAGCATGCCTGAATTAGAGTGTAATGTTTTGGGGTTAGCTTCAGTGCTTGAATGAAGTCTCTGTGTCAAAAATGTGGAGTGCACATGACTGTACTGAGTGGGCTGAGGCGGCGTGCGATCATCACCTCCAGCTAGCCACTTCATACAGACGGACTTTTCCAAGATCTGGCAACAACAAAGCGTTAGATTCGCAAACGGAATACGCATTGCATCGGTCCTGGTTAGTGCGATGTCTGCTGGTATCCGGTCAGCCACCTGAAAGTCTTTTTGGCATCAACTTGCTTTTTATTGACCCGATTTACAAGAAAAGGACTCGGAGTTGACCAGTTTTTATATCTTCCTAGTAAGTCACGTGATAAGCGAAGCAGTTCTAATGGACGAGACCTCAGCGGACCTGATATAATTTATTCGGTTTATGATAAATAGCAAAGTCTCAATTTATCCCATTTGCGCATGAAATTTCTTATCTCAGGCATTCAATTTTGTCAGAATGATTTCTTTTTTAAATAGTCAAGTTCACTACAAAACGTTCTATTGAAACAAGTTTTATGTTGACGGTACCTTTTAATGATTTTCGTTCACTTTTGTGAAAACAAAAGCCTTCCTTAAAATTATTTTCCCAAAGATATACGTAGATAGTGAGTCTGTTCTCATTAGACGTTATTGCGCACATTATGTAAAAACTCCGGATGTGGTGATGATACATATCATCAAACTAATCTGTGGGTTACCAATAGACGTAAATTGGTAGCATAGCCTGAGTCTGCGCATGACTT